TTATTTTTAATCAGAATAATGCGTTCAGTCCACTTTGATATTCTTGTTCTCAGAAATAATTAAATATATTAAATATTGAAAAATATATATTTATATACTATATATATATCTCTCTCTCTATTTTCTCTCTATATTATAAAAATCAAAATCGACTTCTAGTGATGAAAATTTGGTAGTCGAAATTAAGACTCCAAAATTAAGGGTCACAAGGGTCAAATTACGGCTCATGAGGGTCAGAATAAGGGTCACGAGGGGCAGCATAAGGATCACGAGGCTCAGATTAAGGGTCTACATAAGGGTCACAAGGATCAGATTCAGGATCACAGTAAGGGTCCAAATAAGAGTCACGAAAGTTATAATAAAGATCAGATCTTAATCTGACCCTTCCTTAGATTCAAATGAGGGTCACAAGCGTCAAAATAAGGCTCATGATGGTCAGAATAAGGGTCACGATGGGCAGCATAAGGATCACGAGGCTCAGATTAAGGGTCTAAATAAGGGCCACAAGGGGAAGCTTAAGGGTCGGAATAAGAATCTAAATAAGGGTCACAAAGGTCATATTAAGGGGCAGGAGGGTCAGGTTAAGGGTCCAAATAAGAGTCACGAGAGTTATAATAAAGGTACGATCTTAATCTGACTCTTCCTTAGATCCAAATAAGGGTTGCAAGGGTCAAAATGAGGATCATGAGAGTCATATGGGGGTTGGCAAGCGGACCGAGCAGGGGGCGTAGCCCGTTAGTATTTATATAATGTATCTTTATATATTATATATTATCCTTTTTATCATTCATTAATATTCATATATTTTTATATATTTTAATTTAAGATATTTTTTCAATTAAAGTAATCAAAAACTTTTGAATTGAGACTAATAAACAGCTTTGAATTAAGATTGTTAAGGAAAAATTTAAAACGATTACTAAAAACCTCATTCTCAAACACACAATTGGAGGCCAATCCCACAATGAAATCCCTTTTGAAATTTCCTCCACATATACTCAATCCCAATCTTAAATCCCCCATCTCCAATAAGAACACAGAGATAAACTCAATGGCGTATGCACGAGGGCAATTCATGTCGCTTGTTTAAACGAGTTTCTATAATTGCTGGCATTCACCTGACAGAATCGCACACGTGTGGTCCCCAGAATTGGACCAGAGACAATCGCCTCAATTGAGCACATTTTTGACATTCTTGTCATGCATTGTGGGATCAAGAAGAAGAAGGTCGTATCTGGATGAAGAATTCTCATCATAAATTAATTCGTCTTTCTTAATCAGTGAATTATCTCGGTAATGATTGGTTTTGGAAGGAAATGTTACTCAACATTTTTTGTAGCTCTTGAAATTTTCAACAAGAAATGTTTTATGATATTTTCAACTAAAATAAGTTGGTATTGAGATATTCAGCTCTCAAGAAAACGTGAAAAATTAATTCGCTTTGTTTACACATTCACACAATTGTATGAAGTGAAAAAAATCTTGTGAGTGGATGTTGCATCGCCAGGGCGCATATCACAGTGACAAAGTGCAGTAATGTAAGCAACGAGTCGCGAGTCACTCCAGGTAATTCTCTACTTTTCTTAAAAGCCCTTGGGAAAGGCGAAAGGCAAAGGAGAGAAAATAACGTAAAAGAGTGGCAATCTACCGGATGTAACGAGTGTCCGTTTCTCCACACAATGGCAAAAAGAACGGAGGAACGAAGGTACACACATGTGAACCAAGTTTTCACAGCACTTCACTAGTTCCACTGTTACCAAGACGAAGACGTAGTACTTTGGCTTCGGAGGCTGGGGTGCGCGGCTATTTGTCGTGAAGCCCAGCCACGTATTCACCATCTATCTCACGTGGATTTTTCCGGAAACTCGAGGCAACATCGGAACTCGTAGAATTTCACATAAATCTGATTGGAGAGGGGGACGAGAACGTTGGGATTAAGTGGAAGAGTTCGAAAGATAAGGGGAGAGGATAACGAGAACACGGGCTTAGGATTTTTCAAATGTAAAATGAATCGCTTTTTGTAGTTCATTTTCTTTTATCGAATATAAGATGGAGAGGTTGAATCAGGAATATTTATAATTAGTTTTAGTGAATTATATCAATAAAATTTTCAACAATTGGCTTCCGAATGGGTTTTCTTTTTTTAAATGCTTATTTCACTATTCTCGTCTTCTATTTTTTCATGCCATAGTACTAGGGTAAGCTACCCAGTAGATGGACTTCATTAACTGTTGATTCTTAACCCCTGAGTGACGATTTTTTTTCGATCAATTTTTTTTTTCAATTGCTAAAAAACAAACGTCCATCTACTGGGCAGTTTATCCTGGGCAGTTTCATCAATTGAAATGTCATCAAAATTTTGCGTATTATTTTGTTCAGTCAAATAATTCTACATTCAGGCCCTCTCAAGACTCGAATTCGTTTTCAGTCCGGGTTTAATCAAGGTTCAATCAAGGTTTAATTAGTGGATAGCCAGGATTTAATCAGGATTTATTCAGGATTTAGGCAGAGTTCAACCCAGGTTCTGTCAGAAGTTAGTCGGGACCGGGAATCAATATGAATAACTATTCAACATAATAGACTGGTACCTGAGTTTACCCCTAGTCTGGTCACCAATTCCCGTTACCTATTGAATCCTATTTACTCTTTAAAACAAGCAAAAACCAACAAATATTCAGAAAACGCAGAATTATTTGTGCACTTTCTCCCCAAAATTTAATAATCTCCTTCAAAGTTGCTCTCCTTCACCCCCATTGACCCCCAAACCGACTCAAAAATTCCTCAACGCCAAAAAAAACCATCACTCCACCCCAGAAACACTATCATAAACCTCCACCCCTGTATCACCTTGCAACCATCATTCGAAATTGGAATTTTCCCGGCTCCTCCCAAACTATTCTCATCAAGCAACTTCCACAAAACCCCTTTTCTCCCTCATTTTCCTCCGGAATAAAAAAAATGTAAATTGCACCGAGGGTTCTCCCCATTGTGTCCCGAGGATGATGAACGAAGGTTCCCGAGAATAACTCAAATATGCAAAACACGGGAATAAATAAAAACGTCGCGAGTCGGAGTAGTTCTTTGTGTTATTGGCTTTCCAGCGATTTTTCTTGTTTAATTCTCTCCGGAATGGTAACAATCCAGGCTGGATTATTAAAAGCTACGCCTGCTTCCTCTTCATCCGCACCCCCCGAGACCCTCCGCCCCCCCCC